TGATCCTACCTCAGATGCCTAAAGAAATCAAAAATCTGAAACCAACATACCAATTAATAAGTTAGGTGCACAAACATCCAAACAAAATCTAAAAGGTAAAATGGCTCCAAGTCCATCTACTAAACCTGTTAAACGAATGGTCTGGGCAGATTAGATAATTGAAAATTCTGGTCAACGTGGTACTCTCAAAACTTGGATTTCTATAAAGAATGCTCATTTCTCTAAATACTATTCAGTTTTGAACAAAGAACAATCTAAATGTCAAATTAAATTAAAGGAATAATTAGCACTCGTACAACACAATCTTAGTGGTAAGATTAGAGTAGCTGAATTCATTCAAAAAACCTTAGAAGGTGATTAACTTGTAGAATCTATAATCAAAACATAATTAGTAAATATTATCAATCACTAATTATTAGAACCATCCTAATTTAATTAAATTAGATGAAATCTTTTAAGATGCTTCCAATTATTAAATTATTCATGATTTTTGTAATGGAGGTTCTTTACAATAATATCTCTCAAATACAGTTTATACTTAGTAATAGGCAGCACTAATATTGAAATAAATTATTGAAATAATTTCGTATATTCATAAATTAGAACTGAATCATAATGGATTATCATTAACATCTTTTCAAAAGTATAATTAATCTAATTCAAATTATATTAAATTAGTGGATTATAAACCAATTTATGTAAAAAAAATGATTTCAGCAAAAGATAATTTATTGTATTTAGCTCCAGAAGCCATTATGTAACCAGATATATATACTCAAGAAAGAGATATATGGAGTATTGGTATTATGCTATACAGAATGTTATCTGGCCAATTTCCATTTAAAGGATCAAATAAAGATGAACTACTTTAATCTATTTAAAAATATTAAACATTTGATGAATTTGATACAGAATCTATACCTAGAACTAGTGTAGATTTCATTAAAAAATTATTGAGATTTGATCCAAAAAAGAGAATCAAACTAAATTTGGCTTTAAATGATTAATGGGTGAAGCATAATATTGAAAAATCTTAGGTTGAATAAGATTAAATTGTTAAATAACTTGATCAGAATCATCCTCTTTCATTTTTATAATGTTGTTTCTTATAATTTATGATAACTACTTTTTAATCTGATTAAGAATAATCTTTATATTAAATCTTTGGTTAGTTTGATATTAATCATGATGGTAAAATAAATAGATAAGAATTGACTTAAGCCTATTTAAAACATTGTTCTAATCTTTAAGAGGTTAAAGAACATGTAGATTCTGTTTTCAAAAGAGTAGATATTAATAGAAATGGTGAAATTGATTTTTAGGAATTTTTAATAGGAGTTATAGATCGAAATATTTTGATAACTATCGATAATCTAAAAGAGGCATTTCGCATATTATCAGATGTAGAAGGTCATATTTCCCTTGCAAAGATGTGTTAATTGTATCACAATAAAAAATAGCAATTAAAATAGTAATTTTCCATATATGAAAACAATCAAGTAATTTTGTAAATATATTTATAGATTAATTTTAAATAATTCTAGGAATTAATGTTTGATGCTCTATGAGTATGATAAATGATTTTGATTGTTTTTATATATAGTATATAAAATAATGGACATTTTCTAATGTATTTTTATATGAATGGATAATTAAAACGTTTTATTTAATAAAAATATTAAATTAAATTAAATAAAAAAAATAATATTAATAAGAAGATATATATATTAACTTAAATTTATATAATATCTTTATTGTAAATTATCATTTAGATCTATTCAAAAATGATTTTGTTATTAATTTTTTAAGCAGATCTTCAAAGTAAAGATTACTAAATATCTTAGTTGTTATGGAATAATATTCAATATATAAAAAAAGTTAACGAATTAAAATTGAAAGAGTTATAAAATCATTTAACCTTAGTTTGAAAAGAATTTAAATAGGAATGTTAGGTTCACTTTTTATTTAGATTATCATAAATTATATTCTGAATTTTTTTCAACCAATAATGTGTAGTTATAGAAAAATTAAACCAGATAGAGCAATTTTCAAAATAAATAATAAAGAATAAACTCAATTTTATATATTGATTTATATATAAAATTATATTCCAATAAAATAAAATTACTTTCAAATTTGTTTATTGTATTCTTTTTATATATGGGCATATTGGATATTCTCATTAGAATTAATTCATATTCATATTAATAAATTTAACTTATTATAAATTTGTTCTGATATGATTTATAATTTTAATATTAACTTTATCAAGTTAAAAAATTACACAATTAGAATTCTCATATTATAATTTTATTTTTATTTTTATTTTCCTTCTACCATTCTATTCTATTAATCATAACAATTTAACAAAAAAAAGTAGATACTTCTTCAAATAATCATAGACCAAGAAGAAAGATTCAAATATAACTCTTAGCCATTGCATTCTCTTCTTCAGCTATAGGATTTGTATTTAGCATATGTATTTATATAGACAAAAGGGAATATTTATATCAATATAACTCTTGCAAGATTTAAAGAGAAAATTAGTATTAGTAATAAAGTATGTAATTCTAAAATTAAGATAAGACTATCAAATAAATTAAAAGGTTCTAAAAATGGAAGAACCAAAATTCCAACAGATTTTTTTATTGGTCTTTTACCTAATTCAATTTTACATTGATTAATTTTTTTAATATTTTCTAATATCATGAATCATGCATATTATGTACCTTCATATCAAACTAGTTACCATATTTAATAATAAGCATGTTTAAACAGAAATCCTGAGAATATTGCTGATTAGTATAAATTAATATGATTATCAGATTGAAATTACTTAAATCCAAAAAGCATGTCAATCAATCACTTCATAACAATAAAGACTACTTAATTAAGTAACACTAATTCAAAAGTTAGAAAAACATTTCATCAACTAAATTGCATTCTTCTCGAAGACAAAAATCTTAAGATGATGAATAAATCTCATAAACAATAAATCCAACTATCAGATAACTTTCTAAACAATCAAAACGTATGAATGGTTATTTGATTAAGTAATAACTAAATTCTAATTCATATCAATCACACAAATAATAATAAATTACTGACTACCACACCGTTAATAAAGATAAAACTATTATTAAGACTGAACCTGATACTTAACTTTGTAGTGATAGAATCATATGCTATAAAACTCCTATAATCATTTCAAAATAAATTCAATCTAAAGAATAGATTAAATCTATTTGCAATTAAATTTATCCATAAAATAAACCAGTTGATGAAATCACTAATCTCAAATTAGATATTGGAAATGAAAATCAAAGAAAGAATCCCAAACTCAAAACAGATGTTTAAGAAAAAATACTTGATTTGCTTATGCTCTCTACAAGAGAACTTAAATTTAAACTATCAGATAAAAGGACAAAATAAACTTCAATCCCCAAAACTACAAAAGCTGGATTGCCAGTAGATTTTTTTAATTTTAAAAAATGATCTATATATATAACTAATAATAAATATATTTATTTATTTTTAAAATTGAATTTTATTCAATATGCAAAAGATAATTTTAGTCATTTTTTTGTTTATTATGTTATGTGTGAAAAAATATGTATATTTTACATTTTTTTACCTCCATTTAATACAAATTTTTCTATCTGAATTATAAATAATCTCTTATTGATAATTAACTCATTTATTGTTTAGTATTTTAATTTATTTTATTTTTCTTTAAAAATATAAATCTATTTCTAATGATGAGTTTTTATTTACTTATTTTTTAAATTCAAAAAATGTTTCTGATTCACTATTATTAGGTTTAGAAATTCTTAAGTAGAATCTTTAAATGCTATTCTTAGTAATATCAAAATTAATCAATAAATGATTTTTTATTTATAACTTAAATTTAGTTATCCTAATTTATGTACAATAATTAAAAAATCTCTTTTAAAATCTTTATATACTCTTTGATATTTATATAAATTCTATTCTTAAGAACATTATTATCATTCCCTCTACTTTTAAAAATTATAGGGATATTGCATATTGAAATGCTAAAATAATTTCTTTTTTGGAAATCTTATAGAAAACTAAATAAGATTATCATAAAAAATTATTAAACCAATAGAAATTTATATTATTCCATATTCTCGATAATAAGGTAGTCAATTTAAGCTATTAAAGTTTCATTCTTTTTTCTTCTAAAAATATCATGGATTTAAATATTTTATTAATATTTTAAATTCTTTCGAATCCTATAATTAATATCTCTTCCAATTTTAGAGACAGAAAATAAAAATGTATTCAAAATTTTCTTTCGATAAATCTTAGATCTCTATTTTAGATGAATATTTACTGATATTGGTTACGATTATTTAAAGAAGACTTAACAATCAAAGTATTCTTATTTTAAAGGTTTTTCTTTATCATAGTTGGAATACTTTTTGTGACTTAGATCATGAGAAGGTTACCCTCTGTTTATTTCCTGAACCACTAATACTTTTGCCAGCCTTATACTTATACCTTTTTTGTAATAGCCTCTTGAGCTGTTACTTACCATATCTATTTAATACTGAGAAAAACTTATATCCAGATTTCGACCTTATTATACTATTAATCAATTTCTAACGATTGACCAAGAAATGACCTAACATCTCCTGCTTTTTTTATCTAAGTTAGAGACAAAATCATAGTTATTCACGTACATAATCGGGCATTTTTTAAAGAAAAAATAGGTTCTTTTAAGCACCCCTTCATTACAAATTAAAAGATAAAAAATTTATAAAAATAACAATAATTTAAAAATACTTTTATTAAGATTAATGGAACGAAAAAAATGAATAATTTTAGATCATATGGTAATCTAGGAGTTAAAAAAAGTAATGTTTAGAATAAAGTTAAACTTTTGAACAAACTCAAAGATAATATAAATGAATTGAATATATATAATTCATAGATTTAAATAACAAAATTTTTGAGATGTAATAGATTAGTAAATATCATAACATCTGCTTCATCAATTTTTCAAATTCAGAATATCCCACATTCTATAATTAAAATAAATTATTACATTGACATCTAAATTATGATCAGCAAATAATTTATCAATTTTTTGTATAGTTAAATTAAAATGGTATCTTAAAGCTTATCTTGTTAGTTTTCCATTACTAGCAGCTAAAGTTTTAAAAGCCATTTTGAGATTATCTTCTGTGAGTAGACCTGATTTATCAGTAATAGCTACAATGAATTCTCCGAAATCAATAGTTCCACTCTTATCTATATCTGCAATTTTAAATATATTATCTATAAAAAGTATAGCTTCAGAATTTGTATCAAATCTATTAGAATAAACTTTAAGTAGTTCTTATTTAGATAACTATCCGTCTTGATTTTCATCTAATAATAAAAATTCAGCATGAAGTTATTATTGATCAGCAGAACAAAAGTTTTTAATCATAAATGTTAAGAATAATTGCTAAAGAGGTGAAATTTTGACTTTATTTTATTGTAATTTCTTAATAATATTTGAGTCATTTTATATGCTTCTTAATTTAAACCATTAATCATTCATTAATGTTGACAATGAGATTCTTGATTTAAATGGAACCAGTATCTTCTTAATCAATTATACACATGACTTTGATACTCTATCGAATTAGAAATTATTATATTAAGCAGCCATTTTTTTAATTTATTACTTAATAGATTGAATTGTACTTCCTCCAAATGGTGGATATCCGCAAATCATTTAATAAGCTAAAATTCCTAAACTCCATACATCCACCGATGGAGGATAATCATCAGTTGAATTAAAAATCTCTGGAGCAAGAGTATATATATTGATATTATTGATTTGATGTTTAATATAAAGTCCTCTAATGTCTGTGAATTTAATTTAGATATCATTAGAAGTGTCTATTCTTGAAAAGCAATTAAGAGTAAGATGACCATGGGTTCTTCCAATATTTTATAAATATTGAAGTACTTCAGCACATTAATATATTATAGAAGCAATATCAGACTCTGAAAATGGCACAATTGACTTATCTGAACAATAGTCAGAAAGTTGTCCTCCACTACAATAATCTAAAACTATCTAAAACGACTCTTCAGTAATAAATACTTCATGTACTGTTATAATTTTAGGGTGATCCTACATATAAATAAATCAATACTAATGATTCAAGTTCTGTTAAAAATTATTCATTAATTGAATTTCTTTCATAAACCTCAACGATTCGGATTTTTCCTGTTAAATTATGTTAAACCAACTACTAATGATTAAGTACTAAATTATATAATTTATATAACTTACATTTCTAGTTTCCTTATTGGATTCTTGTATAATATCGTATATAGGAACATTAATTTTCTTTTATTTTTCTTAATTGTTTTTTGGTTTCTTCATAAGGTTCATTGATATTCTCTAAATTTGGAGTTGCTGTTTATATGATCAAAGAAGGATTGTTTAAAGTAAATACTTAATCACTTTTTCTGGTTGTGGAAGATTAAGGTTAGTCTTCGTTTGTTTTTTATTTTGATTTCATTTAACAAGCCCCCATTTTATAATTATATTTGATTTAGTTATATATATCACATTATGATTTAATATGTAAAACTTGATAAAACCGAATATAATTTATGGCCTTACTAATAATAACCAAGGTAATAAGTAAAATATCAAACTTTTTTAAATTACACAGAAGTTAATTAATATAATTATATTTCCATTTGAAACTTCTTATTTCAACAATAAATTTACTTTAATAAAATTTTGATGCTTAGAAGTTTACTTGCATTCAATAAGTATATCTAAAGATAGGATAAAAAATAAATGGTTAATTTATATTTAATAATTCTTAGTAATTATTAAGTGTAAATTTTAATAAAAATAGATATTTTAATTTCTTCAATCAATTGTGTTTGAAAGAACTCTTTCTTATTTCCTTATTTTATTTAATTGGTATATCAGAGCTTTATAAAAATTGGTATTCATTGGATCTAAATAATTAATCAAGATTTAAAAAATAAAGATATATTTACTTAAGATGATTTTGTTCTCATTTCATTTACAACCAAATAAAACCAAAACCATTTTCTATCAAACTAATCTAATAGCTAGTTTATCTAATCATTAATTCTAATTTTTGACATTTTATACATGGTTCAATTAAATTAGTCTTTACTTCTTTACATTCATCTCTGTTGAATAAGCAATTTTTATTGGATTTTATATTTTTTTGCAATTAAAATTGTTTTTTTAATTAAAAATACATTATTAATATTCTTAATTTCATGGAGAGTCAAAAGATTGAAAGAAGTGTGAGGAGAAGGAGATAAAAATGAAATCATTTAATTTCATATCAATTTTACTAAATAATTTGATTAATAATTCTGTTTTATTATTAAATTAACGATAATGGGATGTTGTGAAGCCAATGGAATAAGGAATAGATTAGAACAAATCAATCCATTCAAACAATAAAGAGGTATTAATATGATTAAAATAAAAGATAATTCTGCACCAATCTGCAGGAAGCCAATATTTGATGACAATTCTACATAACCATATAAATCTGAATCATAATATTATTCATATAAAACTCAACAATTTAGAGTATCTAGAATGTCCAAATCCCCCAATAAATTAGATGAATTTAATACAAACCAAATAAAAGCATAATAATAACAACCTCTATTATAACATAGATTATAAACTCAACAAGCAATTTCATGTCCTCCAATTAGACAATAATTAACCAACTAATATTTAAGTAATTAAAGTTTCTCAGTACCAGTAAGTACTTTAGTGTAATAGCCATAATATGTTATAAATAGTCAACCTTAATAATGTTAACCTTATGTGATATATCCATAAAGCAATAATATTAGCTTTCGTGGAGATCATGTAAACTAGATATTAAGCAATCTTAATAATTGTATTAATATTGTAATATAATCTTAGATTAATAAAAATTATTTAAGACTACTTCGAAAGCAATAATGAAAGTTGAGGATGATAAATTAACAAATAATGATAGAGAAGTTATGAAAGATATATTTCATAATTTAGAAAAAACTTCTTGTTTTAATTCTAAGAAATCAAGTAAAAGTAATTTGAGTGGATCAATATAAATGAATAGTAAAGAACTCAAAAAAATGTATGATCAAATGAATAATTAACTTCAATTATTAAATAAATTAATAGTTTGTTTAGATAATAAATGGAATTTATAGGATAGTAAACAAGTCAAATTGTAATTGAAAGAATTTTCAGAGAAAGTTAGAGAATTAGGAGAAGTTACTTTACATAATAGTATTATAGAATAATAAATGTGTGATAAAAGTTTTCGATCTCAAGAGTCCTCTTTTCTACCAAGAACTAATAATACATAAACTAAGGAAATAGATTTTAGTAATCTTAGTGAATAAGAGGATAGTTAAATTCGATAGATGAAAGATATTATGCAAAAATATCGTAATCAGACTAGTGAATAATAGAGTGGTCTATTTTAGAGAGATTTAAATCAAACTTCATTTAATACAATAAAAAAGTAAGAGAGTAAGTTATCATCAGAAAGAATGAAAGAAAATAATTATAAAATGGATTCATTAATAAATAAATTACATAACTTGAATTAGAGTTACAAATTGTTATCTAATGAATGATTTATTATTATAAAATTTATATACTTGAATTTATTATAAAATACATCAAAATTATAATTAATATAATGGGTAATATGTGTGATAAAGATAGTTCACCAACAAGAATTAGTTCATTAGATAAATTTGAAGTAGGTCCTGTATTTGATGAATCTCCCACTATTTAAAGTGCATCACCTAAAAGGAGAAAAGTAAATCGAGATGATTTTATAAATTTGGGATTAATTGGGAAAGTATAAATTATTTATAGATAAAGGGAGCATTTGGTTCAGTCTATAAGATAATGAAAAAAGATAATGGATAAATATATGCAATGAAAGAATTAAAAAAATAAACTTTATCAGAACATAGTTTAGAAACAGTTAATTTTTTAGAAAGATTTGTATTAAAAAGTAGTAAATGTCCATTTATTGTTAAATTAAGATATGCCTTTTAAACATCTTCAAGATGTTATTTTGTTATGGAGTAAATTAAATTTCATTATAAAATAGTTATGTATCAGGAGGTGATTTACATAGAGTTTTAAAAAAGAATGGTTCATTACCAGAAAAAATAGTGAAATTTCTTATTGCTGAGATTATATTGGCTTTAGAATATTTACATTTAGAACTAAAAATTATATATAGAGATTTAAAACCAGAAAATATTTTACTTACAGAAACTGGACATATTAAGCTTACAGATTTTGGATTAGCTACATATATCAAAGATGAACACACATATACTGTATTTAGTTATATAAATAACAGATTGCAGGAACTCCTGAGTATTTGGCTCCTGAAATTATTGCTAGATCTGGCCATTCTTATTAAGTTGATTTTTGGACTTTAGGAATTCTTATTTATGAAATGCTTACAGGATAAGCACCATTTACATGTGAAGATCGTAATGTTTGCACAATACAAAATGTAAATTTAAGTATCTTATTATAAAGCTTATTATGTAAAATAAACCTATTTATTCTCCTAAGATTTCAAGTAATGCTCGAAACTTAATATCTAATCTTTTGAGATTTAATCCTAAAGAGAGATTAGGAGCCAAATCCTTTGATGATCTCAAACGTCACAATTTTTTTTAGAATATAGATTTTATGGCTCTCTCTTAATGTTAATTATTATCTCCTCTTGAGACTGTAGCTTAAAAAAATAAATTAGAATAAGAAGAATCTATAAGTCCAATTAAAAATGAGGATAGACATCTAAATAGTCCACTTAATTGTCAACCTATTAATGATTTTACTTATGATCCTCATCTTGACAATGAAATTAACTTCTAAAAAGGGTGAAATATTTATTTATTTTGAATTAAAAATGACTAGTTATTTAAAATAGACTATAAAATTAATTAAAATTATGTTTGGAATAGTCAAAAGGAAAATAAAGAATAGAAATTAAGAAAATATTAAGTAATTTATTCTAAGATCTCCAATCTTAAAATGCTTTTCTAATCTAAGGGCAAGAACAATATTATATATTTACATTTCTTGTTCTATGCTTATTATATTAACTAGCATAATACTCTTGTTAAGCTTATTAACTAAATAGATATCCTAAATACTCTAGGAATCCTCAGAAATGATATTCGATCTTTATTCAAAAAGATAGAAAGATATAGCTAAACAAACCTTAGAAATATTCTGGGTTACATATATTCACTCTGGTATTAATTACTTATATTTTGAAGTATCTTAGCCATTAATATCTTTGCATCGACTTTATAATTTTTAGCAGCGTTTAAATAACTTAAAAGTGAATTCATAGGAAGTTAATGAAAATTGTTACAATCAACCATTAATTGAGGTATATAATGCAACCAAATTAGATTGAGAAGCCTTGCATTTGTTATCTATATAAGTCATTTATCAATTCAAACCAGAATGATCCAAAGAATATGCTTAAGAATTTGATGTAATTTCAAACAGCATTGCCTACTCATATATTTGGAGTTCAATAGTATATGGGTTTTTTTGAAGATTCATAAGAATAATACCTTTTTAATTATCCATGTTTAGATTTCAGAAATTATAAATTATATGATCCAAAAACTCGACCTTGGTACATAGAAGCTGAAAAAGCATACAATTAAAGCAACTTTTAATAATACTCTGTTCGATTAACTGGTCATTATCTAAGTATGAAATGAGTATATTTAATAGCCATCCCTTATAATGACTATAGATTCTCCATAACTTTACCATTAATCAATTTCTAAAAAAACATGATGGGGACTCTAAGAGTTCATATTTAATCAAAAATTTTACAAGATACTATTTACAAAGATTCAAATAAAACTAACCTAATATTAACTACAAATGATGGAATGTTATTAATAAGTAATTTATTTAATAATTCTGGATTTGAATTGGGAACAGACTATTTTTACAATGAAACAAAAACTGGATTTAATCTTGAAGATTGGTAAGCAATAACCTAGAAAAATTTGAGTAATTGTGAACATGTTGATATTGGATTTACTTGCAGATAAAATAAAATAGACAAAAAGGATTATTATATGTCACATACTACTTTAGAATAGTATAATTTAAAAATTATTCTGTAAATATAATATTAAAAATTAGATATTAAACTAAATTTGAATATTAATAGTATCTCTAAGAACACTAAAAATAGATGATAACTTAAATATAAGAAGGGTTAATAAAAGGAGTAGTATTTTTAATAGTTATAGCAATTGTAATCTCAATAATATCTTCTCTTTTTTTAGGGAAAATGCTTAAACCATTATAATAAATTGCAAAGATTTTTTAGATAACTAAACATTTTTCTTCTTAATCTATTACTTAAAGATTTTTAAAGTTTAAAATTTCTAATAATTACGCTGGAATTTTTAAGAAACCTGGTTGTTTTATATCCAAAGATGTCTTTTTATTTTGTTA